GGGGTCAGACAGAGGGGGTCGGGCTCAGGGGGTCAGGCAGAGGGGGTCAGGCCGAGGGGGTTAGGCTCAAGGGGTCAAGCAGAGAGTGGAGGGGGGTCAGGCTCAGGGGGGTCAAGCCGAGGGGGTCAAGCCGAGGGGGTCAGGCTGAGGGGGTCAAGCAGAGAGCAGAGGGGGGTTAGGCTGAGGGGGTTTAGCTGAGGGCAAGGCTCCTGACTTGATGAACCATGAGCCGCGGTTCACAGCACATGTATGCTACTCGACTTTTTGACCAAGACTTCAACAAAGTGGCATGAGCAATTCCATATTACTCAAAAAACATGGGGTTGTACACGAGGTTGTACATCAAGTCTACAACCATATATTTGATATTGTGGATTTACTAGTTTCGGCATTACGTGCAGATCCAACTGATGAAATTAAAGCAGGGGTCTCTGAAGATTGTCACTGTATGTAGCACGGTACATCCGCAAGGTTGGTGAAATTCGTCCCAAAAGCACGTCCTATGGCACCTAAGCTATTTCCCAAAGAAGGGCAATATGTACATCTCTTGTGCTCTATGCATCAAAGGAAGACCATTGCAAACTTGCAAGCAAATAGACTCTATGGGCGGGCGCTAAACACTAATCATACTCGCACTTGAAGCCGACGTAACACGAGCTCCGCTGAGATGACCCGTCATAACGCCCTGCTTGCTTCGTTCTCGCAAAGCCCTTCTCTCGCATCTGCCTAGCCAAGTCCTCCTTGGTAATCTTAACCCCGATAAATCTCTGGAACTGCGTCCAGAACTCATCCTCCCATGTACCCTCTTGGCATTGTTGGGTGTCGTCGGTGCGTCGTGCTCGCAGTGTTCCGACTGCAGGAAGATCTGCAGCTTGTCTCCGCGCCGCAGCCATGCAATCGAGGCCTCTTGGACGGCCGGCGGATGATTGCGCGAGACCGTGGGGTCCTCGTACCAAGCCCGACTTCCTTGGACGAGAAACGTGAGGAACTCCTCGCGCACCGCCAGACTCTCCATCTGGTCCTTCAACCCAATGTCCACATGCCTGTGATTCGGGTTGGTCTCGTCAAACTTGTTCTCGGACACGTACTCGTTTGAGAAGCAAACCACGATGAGACAGCGGTCGATGTTTGGCTGCTTGGCCAGGGTTGGAGGGATCTTAGGGTCGTAGTTGGTCTGGATGAAGCGCGTGTGGATGAAGCGGAAGGAGACGTTGTTCTGGAAGAGGAGCCGGGAGGTGATTTTGCCCCCGCCGGTCATCATGAGCACGGATCCCAGGTCGACGCGCTCGCCCGGGCTCGTCTCGTCCGTCACGGCCACCCGATTCCCTTGGAGCTCGGCGAGGTAGCCCGTGGCGGCGCCCTCGAACGGCGGGTGTTGTCCAGGGGCCTTGACCACGGCGTTCTTTGACATGACGCCGTAGTATTCGCCCAGCATCTGCTTGCATACTCCCTTGCCATTCCCTGCACGGGAATTGGGATGAAAAGCACGCGAGCGGGCATGTGGAATGGAGTTAGAGGATTCATGATAGGCAAACCAATCAAAGCAAAATGGGCGTGATCATTTACAACGGATAAATGGTCGGGGATGGTTGGTGACGTCATTCTGGAGCAACAAAGGGGAAAGCGAACAGAAAAAT